CTAGTAGCTTCTTGTTCCTAGTAGAAAGGCCAGGAGCCCCTAGTAGCTTTTTGTTCCTAGTAGTAAGGCCAAGAGCCCCTAGTAGCGTTCTTGCTCCTAATAGCAAGGCCAGGAGCCCCTAGTAGCTTCTTGTTCCTAGTAGAAAGGCCAGAGGATTTAGGCTCGAGCCCACCGTCCCCACGGGGACCTGGCGATCCCGTCACCTCACGGAAGTGGGGTACCGATCGAGCCATGGCATGGGATTGTCTGCCCGTCACGACATCTTTTGCTGGCAATACGCTATGGAGACAAGCCGGACATTTTCGCGTCACCCCAACCCAAGTTTTGCAGCGGACCTTACATTTTACTGTTCTGACCGCTACTGACGATGATGGGATCACGATTAAGCTGAAGGTTGATCGACATCTGATGCCTTTATTTCATTCAGCATGTTCGAGCATTATCATGTTCTGGTATGAGGGCGGCAAACTTCGATTTGGATGCCAGCGCCCATTGAATGCACGTCCAGCAGATTCATTCTTGATGAATGATCAGCCAAGGATTCCGAAGACTACCTGGGACCCTACATATCGACCAATGCCAGAGACTTTTGAGCCCTGGGCCCAACTCTTCGAATCTTCCGAGCTATGTGCAGGATACGGTCTGGTATCCGAAGTGGACGAACTCCATGAGCCATGGATGATCGGTCGTTTTGGTTTATGTGAATCCCTTCAATCTTCACCAACTCGAAAACCAGATGACCAAACATTCCAACCTCAGCCTTCTTTGAGCCCGCAGACTTTTGTCAGCTCTACGGAGTCATTGTTGGATCATGAAGATCCTTATGAACCCTGGATGTACACTCATTTCTCTTCCACAAGTGGCGAGGGTCATACAAGTGACCAATTATTTGATGAAGTCTATCCAGAATGGTTTATTCCCAAGCAATCGCCTCCTAGCACTTCCACTGGCAATGTCTACCGGGTTTCTTCTCAAGGCCTGCATGTTGATAATTTTGGTACATTGCAGAACTGTTGGCCGCTGGAAAATTTCCTACCATGCCAAGGACGCCAGAGTGGTTTTAACCGCTTGATTACTTGGATGAAGGGTTGTCTCTCTCCAGTTCTTCAACGACACGATGCGCAGACATCGGGATACTATGCCCGATCCGAGTGCAGGTGTGCGCATCCAGTTACGCTCCGAGCACATGATTCCTTCACAGATTCGACATGTTTCTGTGGTTGTTACCACATGATTCCTAAGAGGCTGAAGGAGCATAGTCTTCATTTTGCATCGAAAGGCCGGAAGTCACCGCATACATTTAATTCATGCCAGGGTCCTGTACCCGGCAATTCCATGACACCAACCAATGATTTCATATCAGCCAAGGGCCATGACGATTTTGTAAAACAGTTTTGGGAACAAGAGTTTCAAGATCAAGCAAATAGTGGCTCCATTGGATATGACATCTTTGACCTCCGTCATTTCTGTCAGAACCGCCGTATCAGCTACACGAAGAATGGTCATAGGAACCATACAGTCCTCACTGCTAGACCGCAAATAGCAGGGAGAAAGAACAATTTCTCTGACTTCCCGTCTTTGTCCCACCAAAGAAAGGGGTGGCCTGATGTCAGCCCAACTGACTTTGATCTTACTGATGACCAACCAACTGACAACAACCTGGGTTGTGTGCCTACCTTTCCTCTTTACCCGGAATGGCTGAAAAGGAAATCATCAAAGAGCACACGAGATGTATCAATTCCTCCTCGGGTTCGTTCTCAGTCAGCTATTTCTCACTCATCGAATCAGAACAACTCCTATGTCACTCAGCCTGGAAAGAACTACCGACAAAAGATTTGTCGACCTGAAGATCCAGTAACCACATTTGCGATCCCAGATACAGAATTGCTACATCCACAACGAGCAGGAACCACATATGGTGGAGCTGCACCCATTTCCGACAACGAAGTACCGATCCAAGTTCTACCTCTCAACGCGCATTTTACAAGCTCAACAAATGCTGCCCTATTGTGGCCCTATGACATGGTCTCAACTGTTTTTGAGGACTCAAGATCGTGCCAACAGTGTCCCATCAATATCGAAAATGACTCTCTCCTCGTGGACCCGATGGTAACTATTCAGTATCCACAGCATCAGACTATATCCAGTGGGGCTACACCCTTCTGCAACTACAGCGAGCTCAACGACTACGATCAACGTATTTTTGGTGACTTCGTGAGCCCAGTGTCTCTCCGAGACCCCATGCCAAGAGAGCTTTTTCCTACATACGTCAGCGGCCGAACGGTCCATGACTGGGATGTTATTTCTGATATCAGCTTGCACGAAGCTATGTCAACAACAGTATACGGTCTGCAGGCCCAAGTTTTGGATCCTGTCAGTCTTGCGCCAGATACTCCGTGTCCACAACAAATTGATACTATATCTCGTGGGGCTGTACCCGTTTCCAACAACGATTTATTGACCGACTCCCCCGATATATTCAAGACTGACACGCAGCAAGTCATTCCTGCCCATACGTGGCCTCTTCACATGGATCCTATTTTGTGCGAAGATCGACGGCCGTGCACACTACTTGTCCCTACTGTACATGCTCTCACCCTTTTGACAACTTCGATGGCAGAAGTTCAGCTTCCACAGCCAAGTACTACCTTCAGTGGGACTGTACCCATTTACAACCTCAGCAAGATTTCAGACCATGCTCGATGCTCATTTCCAGTTTTTGGTGAACAGACCTCTTTTCGAGACTTTTCGTTGCAGAACGCTTCAGCTCAAGTCTTGGATCAGTTCTTTCTTGATTCCGATCATCCAGGTCCACCACAAGAAGATACTATATCTCTTGGGGCTGTACCCGTTTCCAACCACGATTCGTTGTCCTTCTCTCTGGACTTTTCTATGATATACAAACATCAAATCAATTCTGCCTTTACGTGGCCTTCTCACACGGTCTCTACATTACGTGAAGATCTCCAGCCGTGTACCCGACATTCTCTTGCTGTCGGCAATTTTGTTCAGTATACAAATTTGATGTTTGATATTCAGCTTCCACCACCGAGTACCACATCCAGTGGGACTGTACCCATCTACGACCTCAGCAAGGTCTACAATCACGATTGGTTTTTGATCCAGGATAGTGGAAGACAGACTTCCATTCGAAACTCTCTGCTACAAGATGATCCATCAATCCAAGTCGTCTCCAATGCCGTGACATTTTGGAAGGTCCTACATGACATCCGACAGCTGGAGGTTTATCCTGGTACACCCTCAAGGGGTGTTTTTGGACAGCCGCTGCAGTCAGATCATCGGAACATCGATGAGATGCCATTCACAGATGACCTATACTTCCAACTCCACTTGCATCAAGACTCTCCTTTTTGTTCAAGGCACACTTCTCTACTCACATTAGCCAGTCCTAGCAGTGATTTGTCTGGAGCAAACGACGCATACAATTTGATGGCAGGCTTTTCGATGTTTCGAGGCTGGAGTCGGGCGATCTATACAGGAGGTCACCCGGCCTGGGGCCGCTGTCAAATCATCCACATGACTCCTAACCCACCTTTCGCAGAACGCTGCGCCGCAGCGCTACAAGATAATGGGTGGTTGGCCTCTGATGAAGCATTATGGTTTCTGCGAAAATTGCAAGACTGGAGAACAGATATTCAAATTGGGCCTATCATCCAGTGGAGCCCCAGTCGAGACCTACAACATTTAATGGCGGCGCAAGATCAATTGCAATTTACCAACCAGCGGCTGAACCTCCTATTATTTCTGCTTGAAGCTCATTGGTGTGCAGTTGAAGTTGACCGCCGCACTACTCCAGTTCACGTAGTGATCATCCAATGGCCGACAGAACATCATACCACGATTGTGCTGGAACTGTCACGTATTTTGCAAATACCACCACATCAGATGCTGGTTACTTTTGACTCCAATAATGAAGTTTTGACCATGTGTGGGTGGACAATCCTATTCCGTTGGTACAACAATTTTGCTTTGAGCACCTGTCTTCAGCCAATGATCCATGTCACCGATCAGTACCAAGCACAATTTGACCGTGTGATCCTAAGATCTCAGCAACATTGGAACCGTACGAACGCCACTCCAGATATCATCCATTTTGCTAGTGAGTGCCGTAGCGCTTTCCTGTCAGAATATGCAGCTAACCAGCCGGACTCTCGCTTGCCACAAGGAGTAGATACCGTGATGTTCGTGGGCCCAGAAGACGACTACGTCCAGGAAGTTTGTCAAGTTCCACGACCACCAACAAACCGAGAAAGAGAGATCAACTATCTCCGAACCATGCTTATACAGCCAGCATGGATGACTAACTTCGAAGTTGAACTTGTCCTTCGGACACTCCGCTTACAGGTTCTCGATCGATACCTGCCATGTCCCCTGCATTTCGACACAACTAAGGAAAGCCTTGAATCTTGTCAGCTGATTTACCCAGTGTGGCAGGTTACACAAAAGTCCAGTTTTTCATTACCTTTAACTATCACTGGATATCTATTGCCGGCCTTAAGCATCAACACCGATGGATGCTCACGGCCGCTGTGCCTGACCCACAAAATCCTCAATTAGCACCACTCTTTCGAGCTGTTGCAGCGCTATTAGAGACGTCTCCAGATCGGATTCATGTCCAAGCCAC